TAATTTGTATTTTTTTGTATTCTTTTGTGTATGCTTACTGTGTGCCACATTTTTGCCTGTGAGCTGCTGGTAACTATAATTTCCTGAGGGAGTCTTCCCAAGTGATCAATAAAGTCAAGTCTAAGTCTAAGTCTCAATTTTACCAGAAGAACGTCTTAAAGTTACGAGAAAAGTCGTTTTGATATGGAAAAAAAGGCTTGAATCTTTTTTTTAAATATTATTATTATTATTAATAATGTTGGACCTCCCATAACACTACTGCTTCATTCTCCTAATAGTACAACTTCATTCAAGTAATTACTAAAGACAAAATGTAGTCAGGCCTTATTATACTTTGTAGAGTTGACCTGAATTTAAAGTTCAAATAAGTAGAATCTGTAAAACACGCTTGTCAGACAAGATGGCCGCCCTGCACTATGGAAACACAAGGAGTGGACCGGTGAAAAAATATCACAATTATCCAAAAATTAAACCTTCAAAAACCATACATTTGATTATTGCCCAGTCCTGGAAACTTAAAAAACAATTCTTAATTATTTCAAACAATCTGAGACTCTTGCATCAAATCAAAGTCCAAAATTGTCCAAAATTAGGGCTAAGCTGGAATAAGTCGATCTAAAACTGATTGCTTTAAAATCAAGTCAAATCTAAAGTTTATCTCACATATGAATCAAACAGGTCCAGAACCAGTTCAAACTCAGTTTGAAACCAGCTTGAAACCAGCTTGAAACCAGCTTGAAACCAGGCTACTGGAACAGGCAGGAGTTTAACAAAACCCTTCAGATTTTGAATAAATGAGTTTGGAGTCATTTTACAAGCAGAAAAACAGAATTTAGCTGTAAATTTAATGAATTAATCAAACTGATAATGCTTTTAAACAGAATAGATCTTAGATATTTTACTCTTATTGGACAAACAGTTGGATTATGGCTGAGATTAATCCAGATTAATCCAGCTCTGACCATTTGATGAAGGAAACCTGCTTCAGTGTGAAGCTTTTTTTGTTCCTCTGCCAACATCTTCATCCGAAATGTTTACACAAACTGAACTTAGCTTCATTTTCTGCAGGTTACTTTGGGGAGATATTGATCTGGAATAAAGCCGCTGATGAAATGAACCGAAATGAGAATGAAATCTCTTCCAGCGGTGTTTAATGTTTCAGGTTGCAGTGAGAAACTCTGCAGAGATTGAGTCAGAAAATTGCTTCTTCAGTGGAAACCGGAGTTCAGTGAAAATTGGAATCTTGTGAAACATTATGTGCTGGAACATTACACAGAAATGATCAAAGCTGGGAGGAATTGCTCTTGTTGGAAAACTGAATGAGGAGCACAAAGGCTCCATTTCACTCCCAAACCTCTTTCTGTGGGAGAAAAGCCGAAGCGGCCAGACTCCACCTGCGGGTTTCAAAAACACGCTGAGAGGATCCCAGGAAGCGTTCCTGTTGTTTCGATTCAGGTTTAACACCTCCATGTTTCTAAATGATGGCTTTAGTGTGATTCACAGCCATTGTTCAGGGAGGTGAAGCCGACAGGAGTGACAGGACGATGATGATTTAAAAGCTTGAAAGCGCTTCGGCTGAGAGCTGCGGCTTTTAGTTAAAGGTCTGAACAGAGCAGCTCATTACGCCCATCAACGTCCAGCTTTACCTCCAGATCCGATTCACTTCGTCTTAAATCCATGAAAAAATGTCAGATTATCAGTAAAATAATCCAAAAATCTGTCAGTAAAGGATGCAAAACCACATATTTATCTGACCATGTTTAACATATTGAGACATTAAGATGCAGATGCTAAAATAAATCTCTAAAACCTCAAAATGTTTTTCATAATCCTGGAATCTGCAACATTTACAACCTAAAGAGATGTTTTTACTTTCCACCCAGCAAAATAAAACTCATTTAAAACCTCAAATGTCAAATAAAGTTTTTTAAAAAGTTGTTTTATTTTAAATCCAAAAAATAGAAAGAAAATAGTTTCTTTAAAGACTACAACAAATTTGGTAAAGTAGGTATTTATCTAAATTTCTAAGATTTATATATGTATTATAAGGTTTTTTGTGATCTGACAGCAAAATGGCTCTTTATTTACAAAATGTTGATCTAGTCAAACCCCAGATTAGAACTAGAAGAAACTCCTCAAACAGCTGAAAGTGAGGATTTGCACTAACTTTTTCTCGGCCTGGAAACATATTTTGAAGTAAAATATGCATTTATAACATAAATATGTTTTGATTTATGTCTTGTAAACACTGTAAGAAATCATCCTGATTTGCTATCTAATCATGCAAAGAAACGCTGAAATCTTTCCGGTTTTTAAAACTAAATCTGTTTTTTATGCTTCCCAGCGTTCAGACTGCTGACAGGTTTCTCACTCCGTAATGATGTCTGATAATAACAACATCCTCAGGTGTTTCGCCTCCATCAGAGATAACTCTGTCAGCAGGATCTCTGATCAGCCTCTCCAGCCTGTAATGGATTTTTTTGTCCTTGCTTCTTCGCGTTCAGCAGCAGAGACGGAAGACAATTTCATTTACCTGCAGCTAATGAAAAGCTAGTTTTCAGTGTGATAGTGCGACGCCGCCTTCCTGCCTGCAGCTGAAATGAATGACTGGATCATCTGCAGAGGCCCGTCTGCTGCGCCGTAAACTCAATCCGTTTTCCTGCAGTCTGTGGCTTTCTGACGTTTCAGAGGAAAAACAGGCAGGAGCAAAAAGAAAGAGGGAAATCTGGTGAAATCTTCCTGCTCTGAATGGCTGAGGCAGGATGAGTGGGCGCCTGGGCTTTAAAAGCTTTCCTGTTTTTAGTCATTCAGAAGCTGAAAAACAACCAGTGAGTGGTTTGTTTGTTTAGTTTAGTCAGGAAGGTGTATGGAGAGTTCAAGTTCAGAAGCATTGAGGTGAAATGAAGGCAAGGCCTCAGAGTTTTCTTAAAGAAATGCTGATTTGCTTCATTCATCCTTGAGCAGATTATTGGGTTTGTATCTTGGTGTTTAGAAATGTGTGTGAAAAGCTTTTGGTTTGCAGAACAGATTCATTTCTTCCATTTCTTTGAGTTTGGCTGCAGAAGGAACATTATGGACCAGATTCTACTGAAAAGACGTGAGATGATTAAAAGAACTTTTTATGACGGTCGAATGTCCAGGATTAATGAAGAAAGACACTTCTGTCCACGTCTCTCTCTCTTCTGTCTCTCTGTCGTTATAGCTCTCATGTCTTTCTCATTGCTTCTCTTTTTCTCTTTCCATCTTTGCTCTTTCTTTGTCTCTGTCTCTTGTTGTCTTTTTCTCTTTCTGTCTTTTTCATTGTCTCTTAGTCTTTCTCTTTCTGTCTCTATTTCTCTTGTTTCTCTCTTGCTTTTTCTTTGTTTCTCTCAGTCTCTCACCTTCTCTGTCTCTGTATCTCATCTGTCTCTTTTTCCCTTTGTCTTTTTCTCTGTCTGTATTTCTGTCTTTCTCTCTATGGTTGGCTCTCATAGATAGATATAGGTAATCTTATTTTTGTGGTCATGTTATTTCTACATTAGTAGAAAATGGATACAGATTTGTAGCAAAGATTGAGTTTTGTAAAAATTTGTTTCATTATTTTTATTGATATTTAGTTAATTTCAGAAAAAATATTGGAACCCATGAAGAAGGAAATCTCCCAAAAATTGATCCTGGCAGGAATGAATTTTATTATTGAAATAGTTCATCTCTTCTTTAAAAAAAAAAAAAAAGCAGCACATTTGGTATAATGTTGGTATAGTAAGTTGCCTAAATTGTATTTTATTTGGCTGTGTGATGCAGTTGTAGGGAAAACGGTCAGTTTGGGGTTTTTTGCGAGAGCTTAAGCCTTTCTGTTGTTCAGTGGGAGAGAATCTGAAACTTTTCTTCATTCTGTGCTGTGATTGTCTTCATAATAACTGTTTTGGTGGAAATGATCAGATTTAATTGTGTGGATAATAATTCTTAGAGTTCTTGGTGTCTTCGTGGCGTAGCGACAGTATCTGAAGCTGAATGAGGCTCTTGTCATTTTCACTGTAACTTCCTTCTGCTGGAGCTGTGAATATGTGTGAGCCACACTTCTAATTGAGCGCTGACATGTGGGCACATGTTTGGTCCTCATGCTCCGGGGACCGGCCTCCTTCCTCCGCCTGCAGCTCCTTACACCTCCTCCACCCTTCAGACAGCTGCCTATCGTTTCCTGTCTCTGACCTTCAACACCTCGGCCTGTGGCAGAAATTACTCCTCAGGCCGGCTTGTCTGGACTCGGCTTCTTCTTCGTCTCCTTAATGTAGATCTTTGATGGAAATGCTTTTTCTTAAAATGTTTCTTTTTTTCTATTCTCTTAGTTTTTACCAAATGTTCCTCCTTGGTGTGACTACATCAACCTTTTTTTAGGGCTTGCATTGGGAGGGATGTATAATTTTAACACGTTAAATCGATATAAACAACCTATATTTACTTCCATCTTGTTGCCATTTGTTTCTTGAGGAAACCAGAAAGTCTGGTTTGTTTGGGGAGGTGCGATCATGTAATCGAACAATGGTACGCCCACAATCTTGATTTCAGTTCGATTGAAGTGAACTCTGCGAACTGTAACTCCCTGCTGCTTCCAGATTTCCCCCGTGTGAAAAGCAATGCACAGAACAAATTTATCAGCCTGACTGTCATATCAGCCTGACTGTCATATCAGGAAAAAAATAAATAAAAAGGTAACGTATGGACCAAGTTTTTATTTTCTGATCAGACGTTCGGAGCTCGCAGGGCAAGGAAAAGGAAGAGGAGGAGTTCATCAGGAGGAAGAAGAAAATGAATAATTTTATTTCCTGATTGCTCCAAAGTCCTGCTCTGTCTCCCGTTTTCCTGAGATTCGGAAGTGATTTATGGGAACATTTTGCTCCTCTGGTCTTAGTTGACTTGTGTACTTTAATTTCAGTCGTTTGCAGCTGTATCAGCCAATAAAATCAGGTTTTATTGAGTAAATAATCTCTTAAAGTAATTCTGTTCCTCTTTCTTTACAGAACCAGACGTTGTGCAAAGGCCTCAATGAGCTTCAGAACGGCCAGGTAGGCACCTGCTCTCTTCCTCTGATCAGGAGCAGTGGACTTAAAGGGGACCTCTTATGTAAAATTCACATTTTGCATGTTTCTGTACTTCCATTTGGGTCTTATCTGCTTCTAAAAACAGTCAACATTAAAAAAAAGAATAAATAAAAAATAACACAAAGCTGTTTATGGCAATAAGTAATTTTTTGAATTTTTTTCTTTTTTGGTGTCTGGAAAATGAGCCGTATCAAAAACCTCCAGAAGGCAACGTTACCAATCAGCAACCACTGCCCGTTACCTCGCAGAACTCCAGCGGAACTCCAGCACATTTGTGCAGTAGCTGGTTTTACTGCTATACAATGGCTGCTGGAAAAGACAAGTGTTTTGTTGTCAATTTACCATCCAGAAACCACTTGCTGCTTTCTTTTTGACTGTGCAGGAGGCTCTACTGCTGCTTTTCAATAATATGCAATTGTGTAAATGTGCTTCTGTTTGCAGCTATTTTCATGTCAGTGTAAACGTTGAGTTTGATGGGGTGGCCAGTAGCAGCTTATTTGCATTTAAAGTGACAGAGGACAAAATATGCTAATAGCTAATTTTCTAAAAATGAAATGCAAAAAATGTAATGGCCTATTCAAAATGTAATGTTTTAAATAGGCCATATACATGTCATAACCTGTTGCACGATGCATAATAGGTCACCTTTTAAGGAAAGTACAATGAACACAGAAAAGTAGAAGAAAATGTCTACTGCTACAGGGCCTTTTTTGCAAAGATAGTAAAGAATTATTGACTAAAACAAGTTTTATAAGTTGCTGAAAAGTTACTTGTAAGTTAGTTTTACTGAGATATTTACACTGGAAACCATATTTGGTAAGATTTTGTGTTTTTTGTGGTGAACTGGATAAAAGATGGTTAATCGTGAGCCTTTAGTGCAGACGCTGTACTTTCAGTGAGCGGCTCTTTAACGGTCTGCAGCGACTCTCCTAAGGCTGCAGACTAGAGGATGGGAGAAGTGAAAGGATTCATTATCCATCAGTTTAATTTCAGCGCTGCGATTCATTATGGAGTGGAAGTCGATTCGGGCCTGGTGTTACGCCGACGTGGTGTTCTGCAGGAGAGACGAAACCTAATTAAAAGTCTGTGATGGGTGGATAATTGTTGCAGCGCAGCAGCGTGTGTAATTAAGGCTGGATCGCTTTTACAGGTTTATGTTGTAAATATGCATTTTATCTCCTCAGCTGCTTAAAGCAGAATTATTATATAGTTTCTGCTTACAACCGTCAAGATGTAGGAGCTGTTTATATCATTACTGCTGCTGTTTGCTTAAGAAGGTGATTAAAGTGCTTCTTTAGTCTAACAGGAAACAGAAAGTAGAACATCTCTGATGAAAGCAGCAGAGCAACAATTCACCCAGGTTTGGGTTTCTCTGAGCCAAGATCCTTCAAAAAGCCAAAAGGAGGGAAGAGCACCTTCCTCGGTTTCCTCCCTGAGGTGTAATTAGAGCCAATCATGAAGATCAATTCCAGCAACATAATACGGCAGAGAGGAGCTGCTAAATGATCCAGCAGGTTACTCTGTGTTTAAAGAGGCAGTACCATCTAAAATCAACTGATTGGAGCTTTAATTATCTTATAATGTTATTTCCCATTAAAAACAGACCTGGAATGTTGCTTTGATTATTTCATGCAGGTTTGGGAAAATGCATGTTAGGACCGAGCCCGGCCTTTAAGGATGAAGCTCCTCCCCCACTCAGCTCCTGCAGACTGGCCATCAATAATTAGCAAACACCTAGTTTAACTGTGCAACATAATTACCAAAATCTTGGCATGAAGCTTCAGTGTGGAAATGTCTTCAAATATAAAACCATTTGAATTTAGTTTTGCTATATTTCACATTCAAGTTGAGGCATTTTAAAGTTCAATAAACAACTTTTAAAAAGTCCCAACACCAAGACTACAACAAATTTCAAAACTATAGCTCAGAAAATAAAATAAATACATTTATTTCCCAAAATACAGGAAAAATGTAAGTTTTTGTATGAGAACTAGTCTGCTATTATCAACAGGTAATTTTTGTTTATCAATTAATGATCTAATCTTAAAGTCGAGCTGTGATCGCTGCAGGTTTTGTCACTTTGTCAGCCTGAAGTGTAAACAGTTTGACAGAAAGCAGAAGCAAAAGATGCAGTGCAGTAAAATCAGGCTCATATCCAGCTGAGATGATGGCCACCACCATCAGAGAGGAATAAATGTAAGAAAATAACCAGGAGACCCAAAATAATCTTCCTCCTCCTCCTCTAAGCCCCTGTTTTTTCCTTGAAGCACAGAGTGAAAGAAGCTAATCTAAGGCGCCCCGCTGCAGACGTGGAAAGTGTTCACTTCACATCCACTTGGCCAATATTTACCTGCTGGCTCAAACCAAACGGCTGATCCTGGAAGCTGTCGCATTCAGCGAGGCGAGAAGAAGATAAAGAGAGACTGGCTGCAGAGAAACGGAGCTTCATACCTGCTAAACAAACACAGATACGCTTTCAGACGAATTCAAAAGGACCAAAACAGAGTCTGAGGACAAAACTCAACCTTCAGATGTTCCTCTGTTCTTCCTTTAGGCTTCCTGAAGGTTTTTCTTGCTTAAGTAAAAAAACCCTTTTGTCCGAATAACGGTCAGATAATCACAAACTTTATTTTCCTGAGGTTAGGTTTTAAAATTTTCTCAAAAGTGTAGAGTGTATTTTTCATACTCAACCCCTTTTTCTTTGATACCATAAAATAAAATCCAGTGATCAATGAATATTTGAAAATTTAACTGTGTAAATCCAGATGTCCTCTGAAGGCTTCATGGGTTTGTTATTCCTAGATCACACTGCAAGATTTCCTCGTCTTACAATCTTAAAGACGCCTCGATTATCTGGCGTGATTAATCTGATTAATTAGTCATTGAAATAATTGTCAACTAATTTAAAATAGAGTTGTCCTCTGAAACAGAATTTTGACATCATTACAGCCTGGAAACACGAGCCTGAAATGATTAATTGTGATTAACCGATTATTATTGAAATAATCGTCAATTTATTTAGTAATGGATTGTTAACTTATAACAATTAATCTATTAATTAATTGTCAACAGAAGAATCAGTTTTAATCTGAATACTTTTCAGATTAACCAATTAATTAATCAAATAATTGATTGACGATTATTTCAATTGCTTAATCGTTTCAGCTCCAGATAGAAACAGTCCCTAAATTGATCAGCAATAGAAGCCTAATCATCCTTTTCTGATTTAAATTGATAAAATTATTTTGTTTCACCGTTTTGAACTGTTTTCATAAAGAGGAAACGCTGCGGATGCGTCAGGAACACCATCTGTTGGGTTATTCTGGGAAAATCGTATCAGCTGTCATTCGATGCGTTCGTGTTAACGGATCCTTCTGAGTGATTCAGACTAAAGAACTCATCGCCTCACCCTGCCCTCATGAAGACCACCCACCCCAGTGCATGTTGGGATGTTTCCTCTTTGCCCCAGGCTGAAGGAGGGGGGTTGTTGTCGGGCGGAGAGCGTCCCTTTGTCCGCTTCTCGTCCCTCTGGACGCCTGCAGGAAGTTCTCAGATGTCTGCAGAGACGCAGACGGACCTGCCTGCAGATGTTCACCTTTCTTCAACACAAACTGCATTTTTAAACGATCCCCGAGATTTCTTTACCTCTTGACTAAATGCAAAAGCTTTCCTCCAGGTAAAGGCTGTAAGCATCTGGTTCTGGGATCTTCTGAAAGCGTCTTTATGACTCCAGATGTTCCTGCTGGTCTTGGGACGAATCCAGATTCAGTCTGAACACATCCAGGTTCCAGATTAGGATGTTAGTCTGAGAGTTTTTCTGTTTCTGCTCTTTGTCTGCCTTCATTGTCTGCAGGAGTCCATCTGCTGGCCTCCTCTTCCTCCCCCCCTCCTCTTCCTCACTCTTCACAGCCCCTCAGTCTGCCTCCCCATCCTCCTTCCTCTCTCTGAGTTCAGAAACGTCATCAGAAAACTTTATGAATCTAAAATATTTCTTTATTTTGACACAAACACAGCAGAGAGCAACAATTAGGGGAGTGGTGCAAATCCCTAAATCAACAAAGATCCAGAACATAAAAATAGCTCAGGACTGTCGCCTCACTAAATTTCCAAATTTTGGGAGCCATCTGTTGTTTTCTATTTCATTGACAAATATTTACCATTCTTGACTTTTGGTCAGGGGCTGAAAAAAATACATTTTACAGCTGTAAATGGCCCCCGGGCCACGCTTTGAACACCCCAGAATTATGATTGTTTTAAAGGCGAGTTTAGATTTTTATGAAAAAGAACTTAAAATAAATTAAGTGATTTAATTTCAGCTCCACTTTTTACATCTATTTTGTTAGTTTGTTTTTAGAATAAAATTAAAATTTGCTTACTCATTGACTTTGTGATCCATATGGCAATGAACACAAATTTAGCTTTTTAAATTTTTTAAGAACAAAAAATGTTTTCATGTCCCATCTGCCTGTCTGTTTCTTTCTAATCTTAATCTTTATATATTTTGATTTTTTAAAGGGATTGAGGAAAAAAAAATGCAAATTCTTAAAATATTTTAAAAGTAGCACCAAAAGTTTGTGATTTTGACATTTTAGCTGTCAGAAGGAAAGATCTTCTATATTGCAGTGGTTTTGAAGAAGCCTCTGACTGAAAACACTGCTGTATTCTTTCTCACCTTGTTGAGCTGCAGTAATGAAATAATCTGTTGAATAATCCATGGATTAATCAATTTGCTGGATATGAAATCCCAAGTTTTTTTAGGACTCATCCAACATCATTTAATTAAATGATTGTATAAATAAGAGTCGGGTTGTTGCAGCTTTGTCCTGTCAGGATGTTTTAGTCTCCTGTTTTTAATTTTTTTACCATTTCATCTGATTTAAATTTGCTTTACACAACAATAAAAACAGCTACATTAAAATTTTAACTACCTGTGTGAGAAAAACTTTAAGGAAAACTTTCAGTAA